CATTGAACCATTTCTTAAATCATCAACTGATATATTATCATCATCGATATGTTCAATTGTTTTTGCAAGTCGAAATAATGATATAGACGAAGTAACTATTGCTCGTATTTGATTAATTACTGTTATTAAATATGCTAATATATTAAAATCAATTTTTCCATTTAATGATGAAATTTCAAGATGAAGTAATGAATATGTTCGATGATGATCAAGTTTTAATGTTGCTTGACATGGATATATAAGTAAATTATTATTTAAACGTGCATTTAAATCATTGATAATTAATGAAAATCGTGTCATACGTACATGACGATCATAATGTAATGTAAAATGAACATCAGATAATGAAAGACATAAACGTTCATTCCATACTAATGACATTTTCGATGTTGATACTTTTACTTTACGTACACGAGAAACAACAGATTGACCATCAAGTGCTGTTGTACTTGTTGGTTTATAACGTTCAACAATAATATCTAAATAAAATCAAATAATTATAAATGTCAAACAAAAGTAGAAGATTTTACATACTTGCTTTTTCGACAGTAAAGGCAATGAATGGAACTAAAGAGGATTTATCTCCATTTGTTTTTGTAATCTAAATAAATATGAGTTTGATTTAATTTAAGAAAGAATACGTTTTGTTTACTTTATATTGTAAACTAATTCGATCTAAATCAATACCAGCAAAAAGAAGAGGTGTTGGAGTATGATTATTATTATTATTATTTGTTATCAATGTATTTTGTTCTTCTGATGGAAGATCAGTCTTTCCTTCTTCTTCAATAGGTACAGTATTAGAATCATTTACATCTGTTGTAGGATCGTCTTCAGCAAAAAGTGTTGTTACTGCTGGAACATAAGACCATGCCCATGAAATCCATCCAGGTTGAGCATTATTCGGTTCAGTTGTTTGATTTTCTGGTGGTAACATTGGAGGTAAAGGTGGTAGTGGAGGTGGAAGCGGTACTGAAGGTGGTAGTGGCACTGGTAGCGGTGGTGGTGGCGGTGGTGTTGAATCCTTAGGTAGAATCTTTTTTT